AAACAAGATTAGCTCTCTCTCTTTCACAAGATATTCTCGTACTAAACCCTAAATCCCAAATCCTAAACCCTAACCCCTAAACCCCAAACCCCAAAACCTTAAACCTCAATACCCAAACCCTAAAACTCATAACACTAAAATCAAAAACCCAAAACCCTAAACCCTAATACCCCAAACCCCAAAACCCTAAACCTTCTAAACCCCAAATCCTAAACCCAAAAACCCAAACCCTAAAATCTCAAATCTAAAACCCGAAACACTAAACCCTAAACCCCAAAACTCCAAACCCGAAACCCTAAAACATAAAATCGTAATTCCAAAGCCTAAATCCTAAAACGTTAAACCGCAAAACCCCGACTCCTAAACCATAAACCCCAAATCCTAAAGTCCCTAAACCTTATACCCTAAATTCTAAACCCCAATATGCAAAACCCTAAACCCTAAACCACTAAACCCCAAACCTTAGACCCAAACCCGAAACACCAAACCCAAAACCCAAAACTCTAAAACCTAAACCCCTAACCCTAAACCCCAAACTTCAAAATCGAAATCCTTAAACCCTAACCCCTAACCCCAAATCCTAAAATCCTACACCCTAAACTGTAATTTCCTCGACCACCACCCAATATTTGCTTTGTCTATAAAGAGTAATTTTCTTTATGATTGTATTAAGGTCATCCAATTCTATATCATAATATATTCTTATTCTATTTCTAGTCCAATTTTATCCAAACATGAATTGTTAAGTCTTCATCGAAAATTTTATAATTAAATGAAAAAATTGGGAGTAGAAATTTTTAGTGTCCTACCAAACGCATTTCTGTTCTTTTTTTACTCCGGGAATAGAAATTTTATGCAGTTACTAAACGCGTCTTTTTGCTCAGAAACTTGTCTAGGGAATAGAAATAGAAAAAACTATTTCTGAACAGAAATTATTTCTGGGAACAGAAACGTTACTAAACAGACCCTAAAGGGACTTCATCACGTCCAGTCTCTGTACATTCAAGATTTGCATATATAACCCCTGTTTATATGGCCTACCGCATCTATTTACTTGGACGGCTCTGCTCTATGGGGGTTCGTAGTCATACCTCATATATAATAGTTTATTACCACGATCCATAAGAGTTATCTGGCGAGGTTGAGCCTCGCCCAGCCATGGCGAGACCAACCTTCGACGACGCTGGGTTCCACCTCTCCCAACGATGGCGAGGTCGATCTTGCTGGCCCAAGCCTTTTGGCGGTCACCGGACCGACCAGAGGAAAGAAGTGCAAAAAAAAAAAGAAAGAAAAGAAAAAAGGAAAAAAATATTAAAAAATTCGAAAAAAAATATTTAAAAATTGTCATGTTAGTGTTGGTCGGATGACCGACGCTGGTTGGCCAAAATTGGCTGGATGGAGTGAATTGGCAAGAAGTGAAAATATTTAGGACTGAATTGACAAGATTAAGATGTATATGACTGAATTGACAAAAGTGCAATATGTTTAGAACTTTTTTGATAATTTTCCCGAATTATTTAACTTTTACCAAGTAGAGTAGATCAGTATTTTTATAGGAATATGACACAAAATGTGCAATGTCGTTCTTGAACTTTTGATTTGTTCAATATGATCCTTGAACTTTGGTCTAATGTGGAATGTGATCCATGAACTTTTAATTTTTTCAATATGGTCCTGGAACTTTAAACATTTTCATATAGTTTGGAGACTACATTGAACATTTACCGATAATCCAAGAACCATATTAAACAAATTAAAAGTCTAGTGACGACATTGTACATTGGGCCAAAGTTTGGGAATCACATTGCACAAATTAAAAATCAGAGACGATATTGCACATTAGACCAAAATTCAATGATGATTTGTGCTATTATCTCTATTTTTCTCAAAAAAGAAGAAGAAATTGCACCGGAATGTCTTGGCTTGATGGCTAACAAGACTTGCAATTAATTCCAACATTACTAAGCGTGTGGTGAGAACTAAATAACCTTTTGTGAGAGGCATATAGCCAAGATATCATTGCAATCGATGAAATGTTGGTTAGCCTCAGTATCTTAGCATCTTTCATTTGGAGTTTATTTAGACTTCCTTTGCACAATAAGAACCCTTAATTTTAGAAACCGAATATATATCACGAGCATTTACGAGATTAATAATTTTTTTTTGCAAAGTTCACGATTCGGTAACAATCTGAATTTGTCATGGACAACATATGAATGTTAACAATACAGTCGATAAAAGAAAAAAAGGCGAATGTCATCTCTAACATGGGTCAAATTAGATCATAAACCTAAATCTCGCACGGTTATAATTAACAGCTCTTGACATTTGTTAAGCCAGGACTATCTACTGCTAATCAAGATTAAGAAGACTATCTACCGGGAATGAAATAAGAATCCTACTTAAGAGATAACATGCTTATGAAGCTCAGGACACGAAAGGTACGTTAATTATTGCCACATAGTGTCAGTTAGAAGACAAAGAAAATTCAGGCCCACGAAATGGTTCCAGCTGGTATTCGTGAAAATGACAGAAGTGGCAGGTAGCTATTGCCTTGTTCATTTTTTTGGGAATAAAATGTAAATATTTGTCCTTATTTTCAGCCAAAAGCACGAGAAGAATATATAAGAGAAAAATAAAAAAAATGTTTTCATATATATATATATCACGAATTATGTGGTTACTTCTCAGTCTCACAATCATGGAAAGTGACTTCACGTATTTCGTTTGGTTTACTGTACAAGGATTGCAAACAAATTCAGGCTTCACCACACATGTTTCCGAGAATGCCCGAAATCGAAACCCTAGGGAATGATTGCTTTGTGTGCATGCGCATGTCTTCGCACAACCAATACAATTGAATACCAACATACGAAAGTCGCCATAATGCATGTGCAGGACACTTGGGAAAAGGTCCTTGCCCCCCTCCCCATAAAAAAAAGGTACATACTTACCCTACCTCGTGAAACCACAAAACGATATTGCAACCGGGATATACTAGTTAAGAGATTTCAATTTATATATCGAGACTCAATCAATCGCATTTTAGCAAATCGTGTGAGATCCATATATGACTTTACAAAAGTGTCATAGACAGTGTTGGAAGTGGGCGATAAAGTATCGTTTTATATGTAACAAGTAGTCATCTTGCTTAGCTAAAAGTTTTTGCGGAAACTTCCCAAACCCTAATTAGGGCACTAATTCGATATCTCCTTAAACTAAAAGTATGATTTAGTAAAAGAACAAGGACCAAAAGGTTAACAAGAAAACTACACGTCTTTCGCCGTATGGAAACCAAAGGAAGAGAGAAAAAGGACAAAAATACATGTCATGCATGATTTCATAATTTTATCCACACTTAGAATTTACACTGCTTGCCACTTTTGCCATCTAAACTTGACCAATTCGATTGGACGTAAAATAAGGGAAAATTTTTTGCTTTCAATAACCTATTTCTCTATATGCACTACTACCTGCAGCTTTCATATGAACCCTAATTTTTTTGGAGTTTACTAGATACTAATTGAACAACCAAGTCACTATGAAATTTATCTAATTTTTGTAACATTTAGCTTGCCTTATGAGGAAAATCTTCAGCTCCGGATTTGGTCTTTGGAGACCATATACACGTTCCAATATTTTTCCATGGTTTATGTATTTCTGCCACAGAAGTTACATAGACCATTTAGCGTCCGACAGAGAATGTTGTGCACAATTTGAAATCAAGTGATCTTTTCTTCGGAAAGATCCATTGGTACATAAGGATTCAATACAATGGCCGTGCACAAATTTCGATAAATTGAAGTTCTATCATCCTCTTTCACGAAAATGACTCGAAGATTGTCATTTGGATATTCATCATCAAGCAACAAAAAAACATACTATAAACTAAGCTGGGACATCTCCTTCTAACACGTTTTAAAGTTCGATTTTAATGAAAAATGCAAGGTTCGTGCTTTTGAAAGAATGACGTGGATTAATATGGTGGTTAGTTGCCCTATTAGAGAGAGAGAGAGAGAGAGAGAGAGAGATTATAGCAGCACTTGCTTTCAAAGGACCTTTGCAATTCCATCTTCAAGTGAAAATCATCACCATCTTTAAATATAGTAATTTGAGGTGTACACGCTTTAACATTTCGAGTTGATTCATGAAACACCAATCAATTGGCAAATATCAACTTTCACCAATCATAGAGAGGCACTACCATATAGGGTCAATTACAAAAATTTTAATACACTAAATGTAAAATTACAATTGGAATTTATGACTATAAATTGGAATGAGAGATCAAAAGGATAATTATAAAAGAAAAAAAAAGATGGCATACGTAATCTTCCTCGAGGTCAATTGTTATCTCTTGAAGTATGATGGCACTAATATGTGAGACCCATTAGGACATGTGTCGTCACGTATGAATAAGCAAACAAGAAAAATTAACATTGTATGAGACAAACAAAATTTTTGAGGAAATACATCTTTGGAAGAGTAACAAAGGTACAAGGCAAATAGTGAAAGCTCTAAATTCCACATTTTGAGGAAAAAAAAAGCTTTAGTGTTCGATTTTTCTGTCACAATAATATCTAAAAAGAAGAAAAAAAATACGGACATAAGTTTAATTATTTTAATATAAGCAGTCGTGCTAAACCAACTATTCTGTAATATGTGAATTTTAAACTTGATCAACCCATATGAATAAAATTGATTTTATCAAGGAAAAAAACTGAGAAAAGAAAAATCCAAGCTGCTGCCCAAAAAGAAAAAGAAGAAAAGAAAAGTCAATCCAAGCCATTTGATTATTCAATTTGGTAGGGCCATCCATTTTCCAACTATTTTCTCCTTCGCTTTATCATGATTTCGTCATATCCCTCTTCATTCAAAGAAGTAGCGTATATAGATCTCTCTCCCTCCTTCCCCAAAGTGCCATCAAACTTTCGTAAAGCTACAAGATGCTTGCATAGAGTTCTTCTTTCACAACCCACAAAAACCCTTCTCTATTGCCCTTTTAGGGAACATTTCATCCGAAAACCTAGGAATGATTAGAGCCACAAGTCACCACCATTTTTGGAAAGCTTAGTAAATATACATGCTACGGATTTTTTTTTCCCTCTCTCCATCTCTTGTACACAACAGCAAGCCCTCAACCCTTTTCACCTTTTGGCCATGGACTTCAACCAAAGCAAGCTCTCGAACAACTTTTGGGATCTTGGATCGGGCATGGAGGATCAGAACCTCCATACCAATGACCATCATCATCATCAGCCGCCTTTCGCTTCACTTTGGTCTAGCATCCATCTACCACCAACACACCAGATAACTCCGACGTCTTCTTCCCAGATTCCGTCTTCGCACTTCGCGAGCGATGGTGGCGTTGGGGTCGTGGAGAATCAAGTCGAAGACGAGGACAATGAGCCTGAAGAGGAGCTCGGAGCCATGAAGGAGATGATGTACAAGATTGCGGCGATGCAGCCGGTAGACATCGACCCAGCGACGATTCAGAAGCCGAAGAGGCGGAACGTCCGGATCAGCGACGATCCTCAGAGTACGGCGGCGCGCCTCCGGCGGGAAAGGATAAGCGAGAAGATCAGGATCCTCCAGAGGCTTGTCCCCGGGGGTACGAAGATGGACACGGCTTCGATGTTGGACGAGGCTATTCGCTATGTCAAGTTCTTGAAGCGACAAATCCGTTTGCTTCAACAACCAAATAACCAAAACCCTACACCAGGTTCTGGCGCGCTCACCGGGAGCTTGGTGGGAGGGGATTGGCAAGGCGTGATTGCACCGAGCAAACCACTCACCACAACCTCGTCATCTTCCTTTGAAGCACAAGTCGGATCTAGGTTTGGACTATGGTCCAATGGTGGTGGTGGTAATTCGTGCTTCAATGGCCATGAGGTAATCAGTGAATAATTTAAGGTTGTTCACTTGTACTTTATCGGGACATCGTATAATTTATTATAAGGAAGTGTATGCTATATATTGGTGAAGTTCTAAGATATATTAATTTATGTAAGATCCAAGTGTGATGGTTTCTAAGAGGCCATCAAACCGAAAGTTTGTTAGGATTTGGTTGACTATGAGGGATGTCGAATAATCATAACCGTTACAGCTTGATTTACGCACCACCATACGTATAATTTATAGTATATTTTTGTTTGCACGCGATTTTATATTTTATTGAGAGAGAGAGAGAGAGAGAGAGAGAGTTTTATGAAGTCTGCTAGTAGTTTGGTGGGAAAGTTTGGTTTGGCCAACTCTCTACCTGGAACAAAACACTGACGTTGGAAGATATCATGGCATATGATTATACTCCCTCTCTCTCTTCCCCTGTGACATGAGTTAATGCATGCATATATGTGGATTTGATTTAGTGAGCATAATTTATGATTGGAGATCCTTTCAGAAAGATGTCTTTGGTGGCTTGCAATCGTGATTGAATTTTAGTTGAACATACCCAAGTGCAATTCCTCATGTTAATATTTTTTCCCAGGAGGTTTTGAAATCATAATCTCCTGGACTTATGAAAAACATCTCTTTGGAACTCGGCTTGATGCCTTCTTTCCTTTCTGGGTACACCCAAGAGGACGCAAGTCCTATCTGGTGAAAACACTACAGCTGAGGTAATTCTAAGAAGTGCAGCAAAACTACAGCTTCTGCAATCCAGTTGCAGGTGCTGCAAAAATCTCCGTTGGTGCGTCTTCGAGAATCTGAAGCTTCCTCCATCGTAAATGTCTGCATATAGCATATTGATTTGCCTCCCTGAAAACATGCTCTATCCACTACCGACTTTAGGCTCTGAAGGAGGGTACTGTGTTCAGAAAGCAGTGGCTTTAGGTTCTCATTACCGCAAGTATCGGCGGATAGCAGATCAACAATAATCGTAGTACTTTGATGTGTAAACTTTACAATCGCAACATAGTTGATGGTGAAGTGACGGCATATCGCCGTGTAAGAGATAGAGTGAGATTTGTTTAATATCTTACTCAACTTGAGTTCGTTGCACCGGTGCTGAAAGTTTTTTGATGTGCTACCTTACAATGTGGGGCTTATTTTTGTTAAGAAATCGCCAAGCTTAATGGATCGATGGATGTCACGGGTGTGTAGAATATATGAGCATCGCATTTTTGAAATGTTTTGACCTGTTCATCTTATGTTTTTATTTGGAAGATTATTGGTCTGCCCAGATGTTCATTTCTAGCGACTTACCGGCATTCTTAGTTGCCATTCAAACATATCTTATGATTTTCATTCTCATTTGTCTATCAATTGAAGTAATAATGACTTATATTTTGACATTGTTTCCAATTTCACTGTCTCCATAGTAAATTATTTTATCTTGTTTGCTTGACATAGGCATTACTAGTGGATCTCAAACGCTAGTTACTTGTGTAGGACATGTTGATTAAAACCCTAATTGCAACCATATTAGCGGTGTATACAGCTATCTTGTTCCGAAAGTTACTCTTAAACTTTGTCATTTGTTTGTCAAATTAGTGATATAGTGGCTTTCACCCTCTTTTTGGATGGATTTTATTGCGTGGGATCCTCTAACAAATCAAATCATTGGGAGTGGATGTAATTTGGATGCTCGTTTGAGCTCACTTCTTAAACGTTCCTGTATGATTTTAATCTACCTTTGCCTCATGTGTCATCTTTCGATGTCAATAGCGTTTTATCGTCCGGATTGCATGCAATTTGGTCGTTTATTCTCCTTGATTTCTAGTAATTGGGTGCTTTCAGAAATAAGAATGTTGAATCCTACCATCTTGCAAAGCAAAGTACATATTCATTATCTACTACTATAATTCCATCACTCAAGAGCCATTTGACCTTTTATATTCGAGTATATAATATTCTTGACCTTCGTTCGAATCTTATGGGGGGCTCTTCTATTTTCTCATTTTTGTAGATGATTTCTTGCATTCTAATTGGATGTATTGAATGCCCAATAGATCCGGGTTTATATACCCGACATGTGCTCCATTGTATGTTCAAACTTAAATTTTAAAAAACAATTGCTTGATAATGCCATGGAGCATTGGAAACTAGCACACATTGCCTCTTTTTGAAGTAAAATGGCTCTATTCTTCAATATTCACGTCAAGACATGTTTCAACAAAATGGAGACATCAATAGAGACATCATCGAACCATAGACATTATTGTACATGCCCTAGTCCTCTCGTCCTAATTTGTGTTCTCCAGGAGATAAACCCGGTTTATACCATTACTAGGCTAAGATACGATGCTGTTTTAGGGCAAACGCTTCGGACCCGATTATGGTTTCACAAGTAAACAAGGGTTTGTGATGAACTTTTTTCCGTGAGGAAGAACATGCCGAAAAGAGGAAGCAATCTCCACTAGATTTGTGCATTTTTCTTTCAAGGGCAAGAAGAGAAATGTTATCTGGGGAGCTTTCCAAGAGCCATTTTAAGACTCAACAGGAGAGACTCTCACTTTTCCGCATCTTTTTCCATTAATGTCGAACTTCAAATTATTGCATCTAAGCCCGGTCGCTATTAGTACTTGCATTGAGAGGAGAGACCAAAGGGTGTTGAATTCTATAACCCTTCATTTTCCTCCCTTTAATTGTTTGGAGGATAGAGCATGGGTGTGTCAGATCTGAATCAATTCTTCTCTCGAAATATATACGCATGTGTGTCGTTCTTTTTCCATCGCGTACGTACTTCGCTCCAGTACAGCTGATACAGCAGGCCTCTCTCTTTTCATGACGCAATAATGATGATAATCCCAGGCCAGCTTCCTCTTTCCGTTTGGACAATCTTTCCGTGTTTGGAATTACTTGCTTCCTCAGATCAAAACCCTAGTTCTCAATGCCAAGTTAACCAAATCTAAGCGAAATCCCTAGCTAAGTCTAAGTGAGAGATCTCAATGCCAAGGAAATACTTGGGAGGTCCCAAATCTTTAATACAAAAAGTAGAATGCAGGTATCGTTTAAGACTCTTGATGGCCAATTCATCGTTTCCCATAAGAAGTATATCATCAACATATATCATTAGGTAGATTGATGACGTACCTTTTGTCCATGTGAAGAGGGCATAATCATGCTTGGACTGTTTGAAACTAGTGGTTGTAAGGGCTGTAGTGAACTTTGCATACAATTGTCGAGAAGCCTATTTGAGTCCATAAAGGGATTTACGGAGACGACATACTCGAGCCTCCTCCTGTCGCCGTAATCTGGGTGGAAGATCCATATAACTTTCTTCATCAAGATCTCCATGAAGAAAGGCATTGTGAACATCCATATGATGTAATTGTCAATCTCAGAAGACATCAATAGAAATAAAGGAACAAACAGTCACGTCGTTTGCAACTGGAGAAAATGTTTCGCGGTAATTGAAACCTTCACTTTGTATGAACCCTTTGGCCACTAAGCGAGCCTTATATCGTTCAACGGATCCATCAGCCTTATACTTGATTTTATGTACCCATTTGCAGCCAATGGGTTTATGATGAGCAGGTAAGGGTACTATGTCCCAAGTCTGATTTTCTATCAAGGCGTGTAGTTCTACTTCCATAGCCTTCTACCAACATCGATCACGAACTACTTTATAGTAAGATGATGGCTCTATTTCCTCAAAAATACGACTGATGTAGCATATATGTTCCGTAGACAATCGATCAAACGAAACATAAGAGGAGATAGGGCATGAAGTACCTGATGAGTTGATAGAGCCACAAACATAATCCTTGATCCATGTGGGTGGTTGAGTAATCTTGCCTGAACGTCGAGGGGGAATACGCTCATGCATAAAAGACGTTAACTCTTCAGTGAACTGTGAGGGCGACAGTTCTGATGATGGGACAGAATTCTCTTTCATTTGCATTGTAGACTCCGCAATTGGATGATCTGGAGTAGGTGGAGAAACCGCGGTGGTTTCCATCACGAGAGAAGAATTTTGAATATTCAGGACGAGCATATATTGTGAAATAGGAGATAGATCTTCCTCAGATAGAAAACGTCAGTTATAATGAGTCGATCTAGAAGGCTCGATTGAAGATACCTCATCCTAAAATAGAAAAATGTCTTCGTGGAAAACGATGTCTCTACTTATAAAGAATTTACTTGTCGATGACTCGAAGACATGATAACCCTTCTGAAGAGTTGGATATCCCATGAAAATGCATCTTCGGACCTGGGGACTCATCTTGTCACGAGGACCCAAGGTAGTAACATAGCATAAACAGCCAAATACCCTTAAGTGATGAATTTCGGGCCTTTTACCAAAAAGAACTTCAAAGGGGGTTCATCCATCGAGAACCCAAGTTGGCATGCGATTGATTAGGTAAGTTGCCGTGATCACACAATCTCCCCAAAAAGTTTCAGGAATGGACGCTTGGAATTTAAGTGCACGTGCAACTTCTAAAATGTGACGATGTTTACCTTCAACGATCCCATTTTGTTAAGGCGTGTAGGTGCACAAGTTTTCATGTAGAATCCCAAGGGAAGAAAAAAGCAATTTACAGTCATGACTAAGGAATTCTTTCCCATTATCTTTTCAAATACGTTGAACAGATTTGTCAAATTGATTTCTTGATAGGGTGAAAAAACTCTTTAAGTGGGAAAGAGTTTGATTTTTTGATTGCATAAGGAAACCTAAGTAGCACGAGAATAATCATCAATAATGGTAAGAAAGAATTGGAATCCATCATGATGTGGGGGTGTGGTAAGGACCCCAAATGTCTGCATGAATTAGAGAGAAATTATTTGTGGCTCAAGAATTACTTATGGGAAAAGGCGCACGTGATTGTTTTGCGAGGAGACAAATTTGGCATTTAGGATGTGAAAAGGAAGCACTATGACCCAAACGTTGATGAGAAAGAATAATATTATCATTGGCAGTAGTGTTACACAATGATTTCTTATTCACGAAAATACATAGTAAGTCAAAGTTATTGGGAAAGCTGGTCCAAAAATATAATCCTTGTGAAAGTCTGCCCAAGTCCATCAGTTTGCCAGTTCAAAGGGCCTGAAAGAAACAGTTATCAGAATTGAAAGAAATATGACAGGAATTGTCTTCACAGACCTTCGATACTGAGATGAGATTAAATTGGAACGAGGGTACATAAAGCACATTCTGAAGGATAATGGATGGACTAAGATTTACTGTCCCTACTTTTGTGACATATGTAGAATTTCCGT